ATTTAATCGATTACTATCATCTTCAATTAAGATTCAGGTGTTGCATGTTTGCTCGAAAGAAAATTAATTAGTGACTGGTTTGGTACCTATGATTGTGAAGACTGTTGTGGGATCACCATAATTCGAGTTTTACATTCTACTTATTTGGTTCACTTTTACTAAAATTGAATACTATTTTCTGTACAATTCTTAAACTTATCTGTTGTGTATTATGTACAGCTCACTGGCTTCTCAAGATGGAGCGCAAGGCTCAGCTGTGATACGGAAAGGTTCACTGGCTTCTCAAGATGGAGCGTCTGAATCTCAAGTCACTCCAGCATCTGAATCTCAAGTCTTACTCCTAATATTTCAGAAGCTCTCAAGTGTACGCAAGATTGGTCTCATGTGGATCTATTAGGTACTCAATATTTGCACTTGCCTCTTATTTTTATTGTGCAAATACCTTGTTATTTATATAATAATTGTTGGTTAGACATTAGGTGATAGGAATTCCACTCTCTTTATAGAATTTCATAGTGTTCTAGAGGATGACGAAGAACAAATGGTAAAAAAAATTACAACCTTGTTGTTTTCACTTCAGATATTTTTCACTTAAATTGTAAGATTCTCTGCGTAATTAATTAAATCATGTTCTTTTGGTCTGTATCGCGTGTAGGACGAACCTACTTCAGTCATCACTCGAAAATGAAGACCTGGAGCTACTGGTTGGTGGTTGTGTGGACAGTGCACTTTTTATTTACTAAAATCATGTTCGGAGACTTGGAGCTGTACTTTGTTTTAAATAATTTTTGGTTGCTATTTGCCCCTTGGTTACACATGTAGACGTGTTATTTACTATGGTCAGGCTACCATTTTTGCAAACATAGTCATGCTATTTATATGTGGTTGTGATTGTGAGCTTGTCAACTGTGAATTAAAATCATTGTTTTCTGTTTATTTGCCATTATTGAGGGTATAATATCGCATATTGTCGAGTTGCCCTATGGGTACCCGGTGGGTTTGGGTATGGATGGGATATCGGGCCCGTGGGCATGGTATGTGTGAGGTTTTGTGCTTGTGTGGTACATGGTCATGGGTGAGGTTATGGTTGCCTGACCGGGGATAGTGGATTCGGCTACAGTGAGCATGGCAGCGGCTAGATTGTACCGACTGGCAAGTCAACGTTAGACGGCCGGATCCCAAGATGGAGGTGTGTGTGATTGCTTGCTAATGTGTGTTTGTTTGATGTGTTTGCTGCCATGGATGAGATCCATACGTGTTGACATCAGCTTCCTCGCGACGGCATGGTCCACGCACTCGACCACAACGACAACTCGGCGGTGGACACACCAAGGATGATGTACATTCTCATGTAGGGTGGCCTCCTGCCGGTCCACGACGTTCTTCCGGGTAGTGGCGCACACGATGTCATTCACATCGTCTCGCAGAGGGCCGCATCCACCTGGACGATGGCGCTGCCGGAGCACGGCGTCTGCCCGAACGATGACAGATAACAAAAGATAGGTAAAATGTATCTAACTTTAATGTACAGAGTCGCAAAACTAGCATAGAGAGTTAACAATTCTGTTTTCCACTACTTATTTTATTTTCATTGGACCTTAAGCGGCACTCATCGGCTATTGTTGTGTGTCTGCCTGTCTGGCAAGATTTCACCTCTATTTTTGACCTACTGGTGACTTATTTGAAACCTAAGAAAGAATTATTTTACATATTAGATTATTCTTATATCCTCGAAGTCATAAAATGCGTTGAGATAATGGAATAATGCGATAGAAGTAATTTGACCAGAAATAAATTATTTACCATAAAAAAAGGAAGTGAAAAACCATATGAAGGAAACTAAAGTTCTAGAAGCAAGGATTATCAAGATTTGAAACAAAATATAGTTTCATAGAGAGTAATTTAGACCTATGGAAGCGAAATGTATGATATCTCTACTCTTAAATGGGACTTTGTTCCGTCGCCTCCCCTCATTCTCGGTTTTTTCCACCTCACGTTCCCCCTCTTTGGTTTCCTATTGGTTTTTGGTATCCCCAACCGATGTGGCACAAAATAAAAACCAACATAAATATAATAAATTGGAATAATCTACACGAAATCGATACTTTTCCATAACCGTGTCTTACATTAACTCAATCATATCAAATCAATCTTACCGGAATTTTAACTGAATCAAAACTTTCCTTGCCTTCTCTTATCATAATATAATCAAATTAAATGTTATCAAAATCTAGAATATGGTGGATGTAAGGTATATGTCGGACAAGATTGATGTTGAACCAATAGAATATCTATGACCCCGTTGCAATGCATGGGGTCCAGGCATGGCACATTGCTCGCATTGCAACTGGCTTGTCTCCGAACTCCCCGAAGTAGGAGAGGGAGCAGGAGACGGCGCCAAAATAGGAGGTGCAACATAGGTGTGTTGGATTCATTTTCGTGCCCACTAGAGGTTTTCCTCGTGCAAGTAGAGACACCATAGCCCTCTCCCATTGCCGGAGACGATGCTAGTGGATGGATGGTTGTAGGGGACAACGTTAGGATGATATGCAATGGGAGAGAGAGAGAGAGAGAGAGAGAGAGGTGGGGGAGAGGGAAAAAGGTGACCGTGATATGATGCAAGGGGGGCAATGATTGGAATGACTAGGGTGTGGGCAATAGACACTGAATTCGTATTCGGATAAAATTCCTAAACATATAGTTTTTGTGTTGTATAATGCGTTGGTCAACTTGATGATCTAGGAACCTGTGGATGCCCCATGCACCCGTCTAGAGGGAGTAGTCATCTTTTCCTCTTGCATTTGTTAATTCAGGGATTCACTTCAATATACGCACAGAATTATTTTTTCAAACACGACAACTTAGCTACTCCATTGAATAACATACCATGTGTTGGTATTCATCGTTATAAATAACACAAAGAAATTTTTGTTCATCACTAATCTGTATCAATATGTGTTGTGTTCTCTCTCAGAGAAGTGAACTCTGAAAACCCTCCTCATTCTAAACAATGAAAATTCTGAGGTTGAAAGTACAAACTTGATACGACATGAAAGACATGGAGAAAAAATGGCCGTATTTGGAGCCGGATGGAAACATGGGCGGATTTGGAGTAGGGTGACAATGGAGTAGACTGGTGTTACAATGACCAAAAGAGCTGAAGTGAAAGAATAGATGGAATGACAATGATGCAACCTTGTCATGTGATTCTTGTATGTATATTTGAGGTCCACAGGAAAATAAGTATTAGTGAGATGAAGTGACGGAGATGCATCTTTGGTGGAGATGAAAGCAGAGCCCAGTTAAACAGAGCATTATTAGTTTATGAATGAACATGTGGTGGAAATAATGTTTTCATGTTCATATGCCACATTTTCTTGTGATTTGTACTAAGGTGAGGTGCCTTGTATCTCATCCTTTTTTATCATGTACCATGTTGCATGACATACGTAGTAGACATAGAAGCCACATGCAGAGTTAAGGTGCAATAGATTGAGAGGATGGTTGATGTATGGACAAAGAGGGCTAGGGAGAACAACTTCAACAGAAACGAGAGGCTAGAGGGGTGTATTGTGTTTGTTGGCATAGAGAGAAGATACTTGTGTTTGTGTTGTGGTTGAACATTGCGTGCAATGTTTTCATTCGGGAAGAGAAATATGAGCATTGTTTATAAATTTAATTTTTGGCTCGTGGCAACGCACCGGCAGTCTACTAGTTCATCATGTTTTCCATGTTTCTGTTGTTGCTACACCTGAAACAGCACCAAGGCCAATTCATTTCAGGTTTGCAGGCGGTGCATGCTTTTCCACTCCTTTTCTCGGCATCGGAAGCGACTTCATGCTTTGTATCCCCCTTCTGCATCTCATCATTGGTGGCCATGTCGGCTGGTGTGTGTTCGCCGGTGCCGAGTCGACTTCCTATCAGCGATGGCGACGCAGAAGGTTTCTGATACAGGCTGGTGTGAAGTCCGCGTGTCCATGCTGGTTTTCAGGGGGATCGGGATTGACAGGGATTGTGGGGGATTAAATCCCCTACAAGCGCCTTCCATATGATTTCTAAATTTATTCAAAACTAATTTGTCGAGATTGTACACCCTTTTCTTATTTTTCGAAAAATACTAAAAGATATTACAAAGTGCAGCCGAATAGATCCAATCTATTCTTGAAATAGACAACTCGCACACACTCCCTTTTCAAAAAAAATCAAAACACCAACCACTACAGTTAGATTTATTAGATTTGTTGCTAAAATATCAGTATTAAGCCTGAAATTGCCAGCGGATGGCCAGTGAGCTAAAAAAAAAAGAATGTGTTACATTTTTCATATGCTCTCTCCTCTTATAGATAGGACGAACAAAGAACAAAGTTTTTCGATCACTTACTTCGCTCACCCTTTTTTTATCTTCTTTTAATGCAAATAGATCCAATCTATTAATTTCTTTTAGATTAAGTCTTACGTCTTGTTTGACTGGTGAAAGACTTCCTTTGTTGAAATGTTTTGTTCCCAAAATTCCTAAAATAAAAGGAAAAAACTTTCCACTTTCCTAAACTAAGGACGGGAAATAAGAAGGTGAGCATATCTTCTAAATTAATAATGCTCAACTCAGCCCTTCCTTATGGGGTATTATCTGTCCCGATAAATAGATAATTCCAGGAGTAATAAATGGAAGTAAATTAAATCAAATTCCCCTCCAATCCTCTCCAAACCCCTAGGAGGAGGTTGAACCAAAAAAGGCCCAAGTACTATAAGAGCAGGGTGTTTCATACTATAACATAATTGCTCAAATCTAATCATGCCGTAGCATCTGCCCATATCAAGGCGAAAACATAGTAGCAGTAACATTTTAATCACCATCTGCAAATTTCTGGCAACCGTCGCACTAACTACGGTCCAACAGCAAAAGAAGTAACAAAATTATTCATGTTGCGGAGAAAGATAGGTGGTTTGCATCAACTCTAGTGGATTCCATATTCAGATGCAGCAGGAGACCTATTCTGGTCCTAGCTACTGCTGTTTGCTCGTTGCATGGTGAGCATCTTAACATCAATAAAGCGTTTTGCGCAGTTGGACAGGCAAGAGGTTTCGCTGTTGCTGAAGCTGCTCCCGATGCTTCCAGTGATGCATTTGTCCCAGCAAGTGTCAGTCAGCTTCGCTATCATCTCATTCATCATGGCCTTTTTCTTCTCCTCCTGCACAGAGACAAAATGTATGTGCTGATTAGATTTCTGTTGAACTACAGGTTGAATTAGAGATTTGTAAAATACTCCCTCCGTTCCTAAATACTTGTCTTTCTAGAGATTTCAACAAGTGACTACATACGGCGCAAAATGAGTGAATCTACACTTTAAAATATGTCTACATACATCCGTATGTTGAGCCCATTTGAAATGCCTAGAAAGACAAGTATTTGGGAACCGAGGGAGTAGAAGCTAAATGAAACCAACTATTTACAATATCAGAAACTCCTGATGAGGGTCCCTGCAGCATGCTAGATGAAAATACTTGACAAGCTATAATTCTTCTCTTCAAATTCGACCATGTGAACCCCTATTTTTCCTCTTAAGTTGGGTCGCAACTATTAAACGTGCACTCTGATGCTATTTCTAAGCAAATATATTTCCTACACATAAATGACCAGGAACATAAGCTTCCAAGATATGACGGCAAGTTGCATGCGGCGTCTCTTTTCCAAATAATAAGGATGACTGCTTATAGATAGGCAAGTGTTTTTTATGAAAAAAGCTTGTGAAATACCACTACATGGTGGATCTGCCACCTTTTTTTGCATTAGGTTATGTCATACAAAGTCCTATGCTATTTCAAATCTTGCAACTTATATGCAAGTGTTTCACCAAGGAAAGAACATGGCAAAATAATGCAAGTTTCCATCATATAACCATCAGCAAATTCTGGTTGTAAATCACTTAAGCATTATAAATTTATAATCTCCCAGGAGATGATATGCGTCACTATTTGCATAAAACAACAAGATAGCTCCATTATATATAATAATTAAAGACGCACTTGGTATTCAGGGCTATTCTAATTTCAATGACCACCTAATGAGCCATGTATATTCACTAACTACAGGTTGCCAGAAAACCAAAGACCACGGTTTCAAGCTTCCTTGTACCCTCCAAGTAAAAGAGTTCAAGCCTTATAAAAGTAAACTGATTAACTGACTAATGGACGTGGACAGTCACGTGCTGCTTGAAACCAGATAGATTCGAGATGGTTCAGTTTAGAGTAAGGGCTAGAGTAGTTCTTCTACACAAGGAATTGGGCAAACTCTACCGCCAGAAGCTCAGACTACCTCCAGATGTACAATGGATCTGGGAGCTTTTGGGCAGCTGGACAAGCTTTGAAGCTATGAGAACAAGAAAATCACTTTGGTGAGTTGACAGGTCCATCCATGCCTCTTTAATATCATTATGTTCCTAAACGGACCTACAATTTGTAATGCTGGATTCAGTCCCAATACTAACCTGCAGCACATATCTGAACCTAAAAGTTCAGGAGCACTATCACCCCTAATTTTACTTTTATTTTTGCTTTCTATATAAAGAAATTACAGCACGCCGACGGATTTGCATGAGGGTGAGAATAATCGGCGCGAATTTCACATCTCCAACTATTCTGTAATAAATCCGAGCGCAAAATACAGCACGAAGGGTTGAAGGGAGTTCCAGATCATCCTTTTCCGTCGACGATTATTACATCGCACAAAAATTACCGCCGAAAACAGAACGAAAACGCTGCGCTACAAACGAAGGGCCCGATGGGCCTGCGGGAACTACCAGGATCCGCGATGTTCCCCTGTTACCCCGACTGAGGGTGTAGGTTTAGGGTCTAGGGTTAGAAGGGTTACCTCTAAGAGCGCCTGAAACCTCGGGTCGTTGAGAGCTGAAGCGTCCATGGCTCGTGACTCGCGCACCTCCTGCAATCTCCTCTCTTCACTTGGCGGCAGACGGGCAGAGGGAGCTCGGCTTTTGTTTTCCTTTCCCCTGGAGCAAGAAAGACAAGGGGGAAGAAGACGATGGAGGAAGGGAGGATGCTTTTTTTTCTTTTTCTTTTCCTTTTGATGAGGAGGCTTGAAGGCCTATTTGGATCGAACACGATAGAGCAAAATAGGGCCGTGACGCCTTAATTAAAGGTTTCGACATGGGCCAGCCACGGGCACGCTACTGCGTCCGCCCGCCCATCGGACACAAACGCACATCAAAAAATCCAACACGTAGATTTTTACTCCCTCCCTTCCATAATACGTTTTTGACACTGCCCTAGTGTAAAAAGCGCTCTTATATTATGAAACGAAGGGAGTAATTTATAAATCTGAGACATTATTTATTTGTAACTAGTTTATTTTTATGTATCAAAACTAACTACTATCATCAAAAAATATATTACTCTCTCAGTTCACTTTCCTAAGATGTTTTAGACAACTCAGACAATCTGACCTGTCTAAAACGTCTTACAAAAGAGAAATATTTAACTTGATACAAACAAAAAACAAAACCACCAAGTTTTAAAAACAAATACTTAAAGTTTGGTGTGGCCTCTTGTGAAATCCAACAACTTTACGGATCGCAAAGCAATCATGAGGTCGTGTAGGGCTCGGTAGGTGCATGTGTATGCGAATTTCTTTATGATTGGATCCCTACTAACCGAACAAAGCCTCAAAAATTGTGAAAATTAGCTACTAATGGATTGGGGAAGTATGTATGATGATCAGATAGCTATAAGGGCATCTCCAACACAGTCCATCAAAATGCTTCTGAATGTCCGGTCCATGTGGTCCGGACATTTTTTGCCATCCAAAGTTATGCATCAAACGATCGCGGAACAGTCTGGATGTTTGGATTTCCACAAACCTGAACCAAACATGTGGGAGCTTTAGAAGGGATCCGGCAGTCCATTTGGCTCACTATCACTTGGAGCATATGTCCTTACGGTCCATATGTTTTCTCCTTTAGGTCTTCCTCGTCCACCCAGCTATCCAGATTTAATGTTTTTTATAGGAAATGAACCCCTTCATCCGGCTGATCTTTGTAACGCTTCCGCCACCTCCCACGGGTGACACATGTTCTAGGTGGGATCGCCACCGCTTTTACCTTGCTGCCTTATCTCCCTTGTCCCTGACTCCCATCCACACTGCTTTTTTTTTTAACTCTCCAACTGCCTCTAGCATGCCATGCCCTAAGATGGGGCGCTCCCATATGCAAGCAACAACTACAAGATCAAAGCGTGTGAAGCCGACGTACGAGCAGCAACTAGTGGCTAGCGCGGGCATAGGAGCAACAACGACTGACAAGAAAGACAGTCGATGGCTATGTAGGTTGGGGTGACACTATCACGAACCTCCTCAAACGGCCGCGCACCTTGGTAGCATCGTTACCCGACAGCCATGCTCGACTCCCTCGTCCATGACCACACTCGCCTCCCCATCCATGGCCGCGCTCTCCTTTCCATTGCAGGGAAAGATTTTGCAACTAGACCCTTGTTGCAGAAGGCTCTCTGCAACAAAGCTCATGTCGCAGATATCGAAAGACAGAAAAACAGTCCAAAAAAGTTCCGCAACAAGGTTGCTGTTGCAGAAGCCTGAGCGCAACAAGGCTCATGTTGTAGATATCAGAAGGAAAATCGGTCCGACAAAGTTCCGCAACGAGGTCGTTGTTGTAGAAGGCTGAGTGCAACAAGGCTCATGTCGCAAATATCGAAAGGAAAAATGATGCGAAAAAAGTTTGTAACAAGGTTTTTGTTGTAGAAGCATGAACGCAACAAGGCTCCTGTTGCAGAAATCAGAGCAAAAAAAACCCGGAGAAGATTGCAACAAGACCGATGTTGCAGAGCGACGAGTGCAACATTGAGCTTGTCGCAGAGATCGGACAGCTACTCGAGACGCCATCCGACGGCTGTTGAGCAGCGGATTTTTTTAGATTATCGACTGGCCGACACGTAGTGCCGCCTCTTTTTTTTTTTTTGAGGGCTACTCGAGACGTCATCCGACGGCTGTTGAGGCGGGGGATCTTTTCAGATTATCGACTGGCCGACATATAGTGCTGCCTCTTTGTGATGCATACAGTTGGATAACCAGCTCCCCTTGCTAATGCCCATGCCTGTATCCGTTTTGACGTAGCGTGTCGGAGATGCCCTGAATTACTTTGAGCCTTTGAGGTTGATATCGACGCGGCGCGACGGGTTTCACGGAGATGTGGGCACAATGGCCGGCACAAGTGCGCCGATACTGGCTTGGACGACGCTTGCAAGGAAAGTCAATGCGAGCGAGCCGATGGAGGAAGGTGACGCCGGTAGGTAACGTTATTGCACTCGAACGATCGCATTCTCATGGCGTACATGCGCGAGCGCGGTGGAGGCGTGCGCGCGCGTACATCCACCACTCGGCGAGGCCGATCGTATCCACGGCGGCGACGACGCTTGCAAGCCAGAGGTAGAGGGCGACGCGCAATTTATCTGCCGCGCGCGACGTCGTGTACGGGAGAATGCACACCCATGGTCGCCTTTCGCCGGGTGCGTGCGTCGGGTGTGTGGCTGCAAAGGGCAAAGCTTGCTGCTAGTTCGTCCTTCTTGCTTGCCAGGGCCGGCGGTCGACGTCTCTCTCCTCCTCCTTTCTACTCCTAGCTAGCTAGGCTTCCACCCTCGAGTACGCAAAGAAATAGCCATGTTTTGTTATTGCGATGAAATGGCAACGTGGAGGGCACTATCCCGAATCTTGGCTACTCAACAACTGGAGGAGACTTCCCTCAAGAAAAAGGAAAAGAAACCAACTGGAGATAGCTCAAATGCATTAATAAAGCTCCATTGAAAAAAAATGTCCAAACATATCTTGAAAATGTCGCCGGTGGAGGTGAGGCTGACGATCGATCCAGATGGTCCGGCCTCGTGCAGTCGTTGGCGCGAACAACTTGGAGCTGCCGAGGTTGGCAGCTTTCCCGTCCGCCACCCCTTGTGTCGCCTCCATGTCCGTCTCCACTGCGGTCTCCTCGAACAAGACACACTTTGTCTTGTTGACGCAGAGCTGCCATCGCTCACGGCCCATGGGATGGGCGCTGCACGTGGACTCATACAATGTCTGCTACTCATCCACGAAGTTCGGATTCTACCCAAGCATGACCACGACAACCTTCTGATTCGCCTGCTTGTCGGCGATCTGCCCTCCGTGAGCTTGTGGTGCTCGAGGAGTTGTAGGTTGTGTCGTTGCTCCTCTAGCAACATTCAAAATGCGGAGAGCGAGCACACGCCGCACGAGCAGCGAGCCGGAGCAACTTTCACGGCCACCACACCAGTGTGAATGTCACGACAATGACCGGTCACTTCCCCTCTGGACCGGCATGAACGCGGCGCGGAGCGGAGTACTAGTTAAAGCGAAATGAGAGGGTGTTTTGGATGGATCGGGGTGTCAGAGACCTACATGGCGAACATCTAGATGCAGGGGCAGAGACAGCCCCCCCCCCCTCCAACCGTTAACA